CCCCACACACACTCTCCCCACCAGAGGCTGCTGCTGCCCGAGGTCATGTAGTGCACTTTAGAGGAGGAACTCGAGCTGCGGCCCGCAAAGGTAGCGGAGCGCGGCGGGGGAGCGCGCAAATTATGCACAGATTTAAACGCGCGGCACAATGCACAACCCACCGAACTGAACAAATGACAATAGTAAAGAGAAGAAAAATGTGGATGCGATTACATACATGACTCCTTCTCCACAACTTCTCCCTCGCGGCCACTGTGACCGAGCCGCGGACACCCACCCAGCGCCTCTCACGGTCGTGGACTTGGACGTCCGCCTTCCACCCCGCTTGCCCCGCGCAGAGCTCTGCGCTATCGACTGCTCGTGAAGGTAGGGCAATAAGGTAACACCCGGGCGCACGACCGGCGTGAAATAGTCCGCACGGCACGACAAGCTGGTCACGAAAGCGTCGCACTCCTGGTGACGCCGCCGTCCACCTGAGGCTGGGGGGCCGTCGTCGAAGATAGCCTTCTGACAACCCTCTCCAAAGGGACTGGTGTCAATGAAATGGGTTCAAAAAGTGGGCGTACCGGGTGATTCAGGGAAAACGCAGGGGGCGGGCAGGTTTGCCTACCCAAAGGTCTATGGCGCCTAACGGGCAGAGCGCGTGGGCAAACCCGCCCGCACCTGCACCTACTCTGAATCACCCGGTACGACGGCAAATTGGTGTAGCAACATCAAATACATTCGAATCAGCTATTTCAGAGAAAAGTGAAAGAAGAACAGCACGAATAACAAGGAGGCCTGTGATTCGTTGCCCTGTCTCCCCTCCACCTGAGCGACGAATTACAGGCCTCCATGTTATTCGTGCTGTTCTTCTTTCCCATTTCTCTGAAATAGCTCATAGATTCCGACGCGACGTCGCACAAGCTGGGTTTACGCGCCTATGGTGCCATACGCTCTATTACCTGTCGCTGGTTCTTCTCCGTGTCCGGGGGATGTCGTCCACGGGCCTCCTGGAGCAGCCCCCGCCGCTGCTACTGCTGCTGCTGCAGCTGCTGCTGCTGCTCATGTCGCTGATGGCGCTGAGGTGGCCGTGCAGCGGAGCAAGCGGAGGGGTGGGCGCGAACCTGTTGCCGTGGGCTCCAGCGGCGCCGGCGCCAGTGCCGGGGGCGCCGGGGGCAGGGCCGCTGGAGCCGGGGGGGCTGAAGCGGCAGCTCCTCTGCTCGCGACACTGTTGCTGCTGATGCTGGAGGGCCAGGGTCATCATGTCGCTCGCGGAGGTGGCCGACGGTGTAAGCGGCTACTCCCCGACCCGGGCCGGCTCGTGCCCCTGGACATGGGCGCCCTCCGCGCGCGCCCGCACTGCGCGGGGCGGGGCACGCCTGTGAGCACGCCTGTGTAGGCACGCCGCTCACGCCCGCGCCGCGACGCCCCGGCCGCCAGGCTCCACGCGAAGCCCGCCGATAAAGTACGGCGTTGTTACGGCCGCGAGGGGCGCTGCCAAGACACACACACGCCCACGCTGCACTCCCGCACGCACCGGCGCGCTCTGCCACGCTCTGCAGCCGTGCTCGTCCAGGAACGCACCCCGCGGCCGGCCATGCAGGCACTGCCGACGGCGTCCTGGCCGCCCCATGGGCCGCCCGCGCGGGGAGGGGCGCCCCGGCAGCCCTGGGGGCGTGCCCAACAGGCCCCGCCCCCTGCCGCCCCCGGCCAGCCCGGCCGACAGTAGGCCCGCCTTTGGGCCCGCCGCCCGCCACCCCCGCCCCGCAGACTCGGCCAATGAGCCGTCTCACTGCGCACCGCTCTGCCAGCTCTACGACGAGCTCTGCGCCCTGGCGAAGCTGCGGAGCTGGCAGTGCCTCCAAAAGGGCAGGCTGTTGCGGGCTACTCGCTTTTGCGCCTGTGCTTTAACATGGGTCAGCCCGCACTAGCCCGCAATTTTGGAAGCACTGGCTGGCGGCGGGGTGCACGTGCGTCAACCACCCAATATCGGAACGACGTCGTTTCGGCAATCATTTCACATCGAGCGTTGTTCCTTAGAAGGGTGTCGAGGAACCCTTTCTATTTCTATTCACGAAGAGGTTCGCAGTCAGAATTTTTTCCGACGATATCGTTTCGACATCGGTTTTCACGTCGTTGGTACTGTCGTGGTGCTAGAATCGACGACTTTTCGACAAACGACGTCGAAACGACATCAACACGACGTCATTTGTCGAAAAGCCGTCGACTCTAGCCCCAATGTAGTATCGTTAACGACGTGAGAACCGATAACGAAACAATATCGTCGAAAAAGTTATGACTGCGTTGTGTCCTTGACCGTATGACACAAATCTTCCCCGGGGTGAATATACAACCAGACATCGGAACTATATCGGAATAAATTTCAAAATTAAAACCGATGTGATGCCTTTTCGGTGACGAAGTGCTACGCGGGTTGGCTTAAGCGCGACCAAGCTCGGACTTCCCTCCGCTCTATAGACGGGTTACGTGACTTGGCAGCGATTCCCAGTCTCTATCGGTCTCGCCTTTGCCTATACCTGCACCGATTTGAAATTTGACCGATTTACTGTCTCACTGCGACAGGCGCGCAACCTACACGACCCGTTTAATGGGCTGCCTACCTCCCAGGCGCGTGGCGCGAGCAGGGCGGGCTGGGGAACGCACGAAGAAATGAGGGGCCAAAATAAAAATGAATTTCGTTTAATGCGATAATAGGGAAACATTTACACAAATCCGGCTGCACCACACGCCTTTGTTCAGCACAGAGGCACAGCCGTAGCATGTTTGATCACAGTGGCTAAAAATATTTTACATACAAAGTATAAAGTAAGAATTGATTAAGCCTATGTGTTGTTAAAACACAAGGACACAGAAAGCAATACTGAATATACCACAACCTACAAAAGAATCGAGTTTTAGAACACACGCAAGCACAAGCCACCAAAATTATTGACTAACAATACACTGTACTTAAAATATTAAAAGAAATGTCTGATTGGTTAGGCAAGTCTGTTTACCGACATCTAGCAAACAGCTATGGCTGTATAGGATTATATAAAACTGAATACATATATTATAAATACTTAGAGCTAAGCAATTTTATACAATGCAAACCGTCAATGCATTCTAGCTATGACAATGTCACATAAAAATAAGAGAATTTCTTTTCAGAATCTAATGACGTTATTAAGGGACCCAATGTCACCAAAGAGCTAATCTCACTAAGAGGCATGAGGCATGTTAAATGAAAGCAGACAGATTAGTTTTTTGGTGACATTGGACCATGATCCCAAAACTACTTAATGCTTTCCTGAAATGTGAGGCCTCTTCCCATGACCCTCAACCGCGGTGAGGCATCGTTCAGCTACATCAACTCCTGACATTCGGGCGCTCCTTTTGCGAGTGGTAGGACCGGCGGCATTACCGGTAGGAGATGACTGTTTCAGAAGTTCAACATCACTGAAGATCACTTGAGCTCCCCCACTGCATGTGGGCACAACGTCACCCTGATATAAACAAGAAAGTTCCGAAAATGGTTAGTCCCACACATTGTAGGTGAAAATAATAGTTCTACTCATGAAGGCACATACCTTGTAAAGTCGAGTTTCTAACTCCCCATCTGTATCCTGCTCTTGAGTGGTTAAACAGTATCGCTCTGTCCCTTTGGTAATGTCTTTTACATCAGTAAGCTTTGTAACAGACTTGCGTTTCTTCATGTTGGGCTGAAACACAGTGCTCAAAGGAACAGGGGTGGCAGGACAATGGTCAAGCCACTTACCTGTACCTTCCACAGAGCGGGATCTACGATGGCGAGGATTCCTCAGAGCCAAACCCATCTGAAACGTAAGTACAGAAGTATAACAACAAATTCAAAATAGTAAAATATTAGACAGCTGACACAGAATGAAGAAATTACCCTTCTAGAATCAGCACTTGGAGTCTTGGGCAAAGCACTGGAAGACTGGGTAGTACCACCATCAGACTTTGATGTGACATTAGCTAGGCTAGAAGTTGAGGATGCACTGGATGGGGGAATATCTTCCTTGAGAGCATGCCGGACCCGTCGCAGCTTTTCATCCTTTGCACGAATTGCGTTCTGTGGGTGAAGAGTATTGTAGTTTAACTTTCTTACCCACCATACTTTGGAATGGTCACTATGCACTGCACAGCAGCAACAAATAGCACATTGGAATAAAACTTACTTGCAGTTGTTGCCTGTCTTTTTCTAATTTTTTTTCCAAGACATGAGAAATTTTTTCTGTTTCCATAGCCACCTTTGCATTATACCTGGATTTGACTTTTTGTTTGTCTATCGCACTTTGGGACAAAGCCATTTCCAAATCTGCCTTTTCTTGTTGGAGAATGCTAATCTTGTGTTCTTGTTCCTCAAAACGTCTTTGGAGAGTTGAATTTTGACGTTCTACAGATCCAAGCTTCACAGTTAAATTTCGCATCTGAAAACAGAGATATTTGAAGTGAATCAAACGAGTTTCAGAATACTTGACTGGAGCTGAAGAGAAAATTTATGACATACTCTATTTCGCTCTTGATCAAGTTGAGCTTGCTGTGTAATGCTTTCTTGTTTTACAAGAATGTTTTCTTGTTCAACTTTCGCCAGGAGTGCTCTGAAATGCTCTTGTTTAAGTAAGAGATCTTTACCAAGCAAGCTTCTTTGTTTAATCCTTTCCTGTAAGAATGCTTTTAGTTCTGTTAAGACCTTTCCACCCTCTGGCCCCAGAATATCCATGGAAGGGAATTCAGACGACAAACTGTAATAGAGGGTGAAGAAGAGGTTAATTTGTAAAGTTCATTTCCATGTATCAGTTCTTTTGAAACAACAAACAGATCTTGACTTATCCTACCTGTACACAATATCCACATCAATAGGAATATTTTCATTAAACCCTTCTTCTTCTAACTGTTTAACAGCAGTGCGGAAAACCTAAAGATAGATGAAAATATGAACGCAAACAATAACACTAATAAGACTTAAACTCTTCTGATCAGTCCCAACTCCACTGTAGCCAAAAGAATACCTGGTTAGCTTTCCTTCTCCCAGGTGTGAAACCGAAGTCCAAACGAACCGGTACTGGCCTGGCAATTTGAACCTCTTGGCTCATTTCAGCAAATTTCATAACTTGCTATAACATAAAAGGAGAAAAACAAAATCTTCACAGTTAAGACTTCAAAGTAAAGTAGAGTGGATAACAATAAAGGTTTATATAAAATACCGTAGTTTCGTCATAATCTTCAGCGCGAGGGTTAGCACAAACAATCATGCTAACTTCACCCTCCCCATCCAAGTAGTTTTTAAAAAGGTGTGTGAGTTTAGAGTCTCTGTATGGCACCATTTTATTAGCACCAGTCAGTTGATTCTCTCTCAATATTTCCAAACAGGACCGTAAACTCATCAGAGAATTGTTGATATTTCCTACAGGACAAAAGAATGAGTATTGTAATAGAATTTGTTAGATTAATTTAATGAACATTGAACAATAGTGAAATAACTATGTTATACCTGCTTCTCTCAAGCGCTGACCACTATTTTTGGTTCTATTAGTTCTTTCACACCCAGCTAGATCAACCAGAGAGAGTTGACTTATCACCATTCCCCCTTTTTCTTGAGCAACAGTTTCACCATGATAGTCTAAAGGGGCCTAGACACATGAAAATAACAAAGGCTAATACAAATACACAATAATAACTAAAGAAATTCAAAAATAGGAAGTTTCTTGAGAAACAAACCTGAACAAGACGTATGGAGAACACTGAGTGACTGCGGCTTGACTCGGCATTGAGCATAGTATTGGCCACTCTCTTCTTCTTTTGCCCCTTATAAAATGCTTCGAAAGCTTCTTCTGGAGATTTCACCTCAACTTCTGTCACTCCATGAACGTACATGTTCTTTAAAGCATCCTCTCTCAAAATTTTAACTTGTCTGTGATATTAGAAGAAAATAAGTTTGCAAGAAATAACTCTTACGATGTTTGGGTGGCCTGTGTATTGTAAATAAGCTTACCTGTACTGGCTTACAGAGTCCTGGCTCTCTTCCAAGAGATCAAAAACACTGTTGTTATAGATCTCAACGTATGTCACAAACACGGCATATGTGTTATCTTCACAAGGTAGATCTAACTGGGTGGTGTCTGGCTGACGACAAAATATTTCTGGGTCTGAATTTCTGTGGAGAGATGTAATGTTTAATACAAGCCACTTTCATAGGAGCCACTTACATTGTACCTTGCAATGTTATACTTACTTTCTTGGTGTTCTAGTTGGTCTTGATTCGAGATTTCTTATAAGTTCCTGCTGCCTTTCTTTTAGAGCATCTACATCACTTTGGATTTCAAACCCATTCATTTTATCAGCCTTAAATGTATACTTCTTTGCCTGTAGATAGATTAAAAGAGAAAGATGAGATAAAAAGAACTGATAAATCGTTAACAGTCATAGGACTATTAGATCATATATACCTGGTAATTATGAATACTGTTGAATAAAACATCAAGGGAACGGGGCATGATACCGCCATCCTGGGGTCCTCCATTCATGGTGTAAGTTTTACCACTGCCGGTAACTCCGTAGGCAAACAATAGGCCATTACGGCCCTCTAACAGTGATTTCACAAGAGGTAAACCAACAGTTTCGAAGATTTCTTTCTGACCAACAGCTTCATCGAATACCCTTTGAAAAGAGTAAATGACATCTTTGGCAGAACCAGCCCTGTAGTTAGCTGAGGTATCAGGAGGTGTAACTTGGATAGAGCGTGGACATATTATTGTCATGCATGCTTGGTCAGATTCATTTTGCATGGGCCGAAGTCGACAAAACACTTGAACAGGATCTTTGGATGAGCTTTTGGTCTTTGAAGGGGTCTTTTTCGGAAGATTCCTTGTTCGCCTGCAAAAAAAAAAAAAATGCATAAAATATCTACTTTAGAAAAATATTGCAAGATTATTTCAACCATGTATTACAATAACAAATGACTGACATGTCAAAAGCAATAAATCAAACAAAGATTGTAAATCACATAAAACTTGAATAGTATTAAATTTGGTAATGCTGTAGAGATTATTTTCAAAAAGGCACAAGTCAAAGCAATCTTAAAGGCATGAGAATGAGAAAAAGTTCAACATCTTTCCACTTTCCGACAGAGTGGGAAGCCTCTTCTGGTGTAGGTGCAGACTAGTGCATTTTCGAATACACAATACACTCTATACACTCTACAATTTCAAACTCACACAGGCTTCATGTTGACCGTTGAGCAGTTCGTTCGGACAGTTATCACAAGCGCGTTAGGACATGTAACTATACAAAAAATCAAATACAACAACAATCACGGAGGAACACTCCAAACCATCACCCGGGCCCGGCGCTAAATTCCAAGATGGACTTTCAAATTACCAACGAACTTTTGGTTTTGACAGCAGCACCAACTATACGGAGAAAATATTTTTGAAGTTTACACTGAAGTCTTCCTCCGTCATCCACAATTCACTTAAAGGATGATGTAAATGAGATTTTTTTTTATCCTTTTCATAATCATACTTAAATTATAGGATAGGAAATATATTTAAGACCAGCAAAGTTTTTTAAACGTTGTCAACAGGCTTGCTTTTTCCAAGTCTTAAAGGGCGGTGAAAAATGATGACAAGGTTCCTAACCTAAAATTTTTAATGTCAACATTGAGTAGTTTGTAGTCTGCTCGTCTGCTCTTTTCAGGCGCAATAAATTCCCCCGCTGATGTATTTGTAAGTCATGGAAGAAGCAAAGCCTATTCATCCAGAAAGTCTCGAGCAGCCTACACCTGCACTCATTTCAGAGGCAATCTTATTTGGTGAGATTTTGATAGATAATAGACTGAAGTAAAGGCTACCCTGTAAATCATGTGTATGTATATTCTAAACACTATTCTTGTTGTGATTTTTTGTTACCAGTACAACAAATCTATGCTACTTATGGCTGGTATATACTTGGCTCTGTTATCTTGGGACTGTATGTTTGGAGTAAGGTAAAACCGCATTATGAAAAGTGGAGAAAACAAAAAGAAGATGATGAATATGCGGCCAAGGTGCACAAGAGTAAGTTGTTTATTACTTGCTAATTGAAGTGTCCCAAAGGACAACGAGAGAACCTTCAATATAATTTTGATTTCTTTACATAGACCCTGACCTGTATCGGGCACGGCAGGAGGCCATTGTGGCTGCTAGACTTCGAATGCAAGAAGAGCATGACCGTATGGCAAAAGTAAAAGCTGAGAGAGCAAAAGAGGTAAGGCGCTAACCTTCATGTTTGTTGTCTTTTGTTGACGGATATGTATGCAATTAGTTTGCCCATTTTAATCCTTTAAGCTGGAAGACCAAAAGCGAGAAGACTGGATTGCTCGTCAATCAGGTTCTGGAGGTCAGAGACTTGGAAATCAACAGAACATCAGTAATACGGAACCTCAGCCAGGCCCAAGCAAGAAGAAATCTTCAAGCTTCAAGCCAGGTATGTGGTACTCAGTGCTCCATTGTCTATCAAATGTACAGCATACTGTATTCTTGATACAGCAAATGTTTATTTTTATATTCTTACAGAATATAATCCATTAATGGGTGCTGGAAGTTCCGGTGGATACCGTCCACAAAAGAGAGGATGCCCAGGTGGAGGTTGCGGTAAAAAGTAAATGCATATAGCAGTAATATTTCCAAGCCTATGTTCAAAGTGATGCTTGGGCCCCCTTACTAAACATAAGTCAGAATTCATAATTGACATGACCAACCACAGGGTAGGTTCAGTTTGGATGTGATAATACTAATCTCATTGATCATACCATTGTATATTTGTTGTATTTTAACATTTACAAGTTTATTGTTAACAAGCTAAGGTTTCATCCTCAAATCAGTATCATGACTCTCAGTGCCTGACATTTTCAAACTCCAATAGAAGTTATTGTTTTAATTATTATGAAGTACCTACTCATCAGGTAGTTAATTTTTCAAGTGGTTCTTGAATCATATAGTGCTAGTTTAACTACATTCCAGCAACATGTGTCTGTCTATAAGGTTTTTTAAATAACATTCAACATTATTGCTTTCTTAACTTTATTTAAACTCTGAATTATAATTAAATTTCTAAACTTGTTACTTAAACTTAAGTATTTTATTGACACAACCTCCAGATCCTACTCTAAAAAAACATTTAAGGCTGTGAAACTCTATAGCAACAGTTTTATCACACTCATCTCAAGTTAAACCAAATAATGCCTTTTCAAAATAATACTGAACACAAACTTTGAAATTCCAAAATACAAATCAATTGACCAACAAAATCAGGAAGATTGAGGATGTTTCTTCAGGGATGAGTTGTACTTTTCCTGCAGTCTATTCCTCATTTCTCTCATTTCTCTGTCTAAGAAATAAACATCTATATTGACAGGGGAATAAATTCAATAATAACAAATTTCATAGGGTAATCATGTTACATCATCTCACCTTTGTCAACTGGCTCCAATGTTTCTGCTGGAAGAGAGGCAAGTGGAACATCTTGATTCAACCTCTGGCCTGGAGATGTGTTCAAATAGGGATGCCTCTTGATTTTTTCCTGAAGTTTTGCCATCTTTTTCTGAGTCAATTTTTCCTGCACCTTAAGTTGAAATAGGGACCTTGGTAGTTTGATAGTATTATAAACACATGAAAGTTACCAGCAGGGTAGTTAAAAGGCAGGTGTATTTGCTCCTTACCTCCGATTCATTCATTTTGTGTGATTCTGCTGCTTCCGTATATGTGATGTGTTGCAATTCACGAACTGTGAGCAATGATGAACTCGGAGCATCTAAATCATTCAGACTCTGGCCTGGAGCGGTATTCAAATGAGAGTGCCTTTTGATTTTTTCTTGAAGTTTTATCAAGTATTTCTGAAACAGAAAAGGCGTTGAAACAGCAGCTTTGGGTTAGATGACGGGGGTTACTTACTTCTCGAATCTTTACCTCCCGCTCTTTCTCCTTGTGCTTCTCTATCTTGAGCTCGTTTTCTCTTTGTTGCTCGGAGCGAGACGCGGCCGCCGAGGCTGCGCCGCCAAGGGTGTAGCCCGCAGGGCTCGCAGCTGCGCCATTGCTGCTGGGGTACAAGGAGCCGGCCCTGCTGGTTTGGGACCTCGGGACGAGGTCGAAAGCGCCCCTGGGTCTGATAGGGGCGGGGCGACCCACCGGGCGAGACATCTTAGCGCAGACCTAACTTCACTCTCAGGACGGGGAGCGAACTTAGAACTAGGGCCTATCTGCTGTGCACCACTTGAACGTTGACTCGTTGACTGCACTGTAGGCCTATTCAGACTAAGCCGGGCCAGACTAAGCCAGACTAAACGGAACGGTATTCCCCTCGCTTCTCTGCGCCCTCTACGGATGCGCCAGTGCTGGTAACCACCGGCAAAACAGATGGAAAAAGAGAAAGCGTCAAACATTTCCTTCCTTTCAAATGTTCACCGAATCAAGACTCAAAATAAAAAGTGTGAACTCATTCTATAATTCTATAAGAATAATACATTTACGATTTGAGACAAATATTACTAGGCAAGGAGGAATTTTTCTTTCTGATGTTGCTGACTTGTTGTAATTTTGAATTTCGCGCGTACAGGTGAGAAAAGAGAGGGGGTGGAACCTAGCAGTAGGTGGGAAAATTAATTTCAAATTTTTCAAAAAAAAAAGAAAAGAAAAATACACAAGAAAACGATTAATTTGCAATGTAGTAAATAAAGAGGCAGCAAGACAAGTGCGAGCTGGCAAGGAGTCCTCGAGGGATTGGCACAACACTTTCAGTCATCTGATTGAAACAAGCCATTGGCGGACTTTGTTTTGACTGGCTTGATGTTTTTGGGAACCGAGTCGAGCGTCAACCGTCACCTCATAGACTTCTCAAGCATAGACTCATAGCAGCAAAGCACACGACCGAGATCACAAATAGCGCCCCAATATATAGCGGTGGATCAAGCAAACGTCCGCGAGTGGTTGCTCGGCAGTTGAGTGGGCCACGTTATTACTTCCGTGTTCCGTGCCCTCGTGGCCTGCGAGGTTAAATCGCGCTTGTTGCAACCGTTGCAACATTGCCTGCGACAATCTCACTGGGTGAAATGTTTGGTTGCTTGTAGTGTTTGACCCCGTCAAGCTCTTTCTCTTCTACGACGACGATGCCCTCTCCTAGGAAAGGTGGCACCACACCAGTACGTCGGAGGCGTAAAGCGAGGGCAGGTGAGTCGAGCGGCCGCAAGCGGCGCAAGAAATCAACGTAATCAGATTTTCGCATTGTTCTCTCACCTCACGCCTTTACTCTGGTCAGGCCCCCGCACCCCACCCGCCCCTGCCCCACCATTCGACGGGCACCTGCTGAGGCCCGGGCGCCGCTTCTCCGCGGGCTCCGTGGAGTCCGACTCGTCCTGGACGGACACGACCGACACCTCACTGGTCACCACCACCGACAGCCGCTCCTCGCGCAGCCCAGGGTCCTGTTCCAGCTCGTCGTCGACCTCGTCGTCGACGAGCTCCTGGACGACCGTCTCCATAGCCACCTCGACGAGCTCCTGCAGCTCGTCGGACGACAGCAGCACGTCGTCGCCGGGCTCCGGCTCGGACGGCGACGACAGTGGCAGCGAGGACGACGACGATGAAGATGAAGTGAGATGCGGGCGCCGGGCGCGGCTGGGGCCCGGGCTTGGGCCGCGGGCGGCGCGGGAGAAGCGCGGGAGGTCCTGGTCGCGGCGGGGCGCCCGTCAGCGAGGGGGCTCAGTGCTGTGCCGGTACTGCGGCCGGAGAGGTAAGCACCCGGGTAGTACCTCTACAGGTACCACCTCGCCGTCGAGCTGTACATGATGCCTCTATCCCGTTTCAGGCTACGGCGTCATGAAGATGGTGCTATCGTGCTGCCACAAGAACCCCATGGACGAGTCGGCAGAGGGGCCCCAGGGTGGAACTCCCGAGGCCCCCCGCAGCCCTGCACTGCTCGCGCCCCGGGGGGAGCAGGCCGCCCCCGCCCCGGCGGACTGTCCCTCGCCGAGGTACAACTGGTCGCCCTGCTCGTCCGACTCCTCGTCGTCCACCCTGTCTGAGGAAGGGTCCGTGTCGTCAGGGGACGACGCCGACGTGGAGGAAGTGCCCCTCCTTCTGGCCCGGATTCACCTGCCCTTGGTGTGTCGCGGCGGGCATGTTGCGGTCAGCTGAGAATTTGGTTTAATTTTAAGATATGCCTCCAAGTAGGTTTCTAGTCTAATTATTAGATTAAAAGATGGAGATAAAACATGTTATACTTTGTTTAGCCTTTGGCTAGCATATTGAGAGATAGTATCTTATGCCTTGAGAGTGAACAAGGTCATTGAAATAATTTTAACTTACACAAATTTTTATGATTAAAAGTTAATTTTTTTACTATAAATTTTTGTATTGAAAATCCTTATTTCAGTAATAAAGAAACAATGAAATTTACATTGCTTTAATTATACAACAGAGTAGGCGAGAAAAGTCATGGCTCATTTTTTCACGATAAGTTATAAATTAAGAATTAAATAGCAAGCGCTGGAAAGGAGTCTAGATAACAAAATGATTTTACAGAAGATGCTGAAGTAGATAACACAAATTTGATGGCAGTATGATCTTCATAGGTGATTGGTGAGGAGAAATATATGTATTCATTCAGTCCAACGATGTGTGCAATGCTGATTGGTGCATACATAGTACAGCCTCATCTCTTCCTGTGGTGGAAAGCATCAACAGTTAGCAGTTAGTTTGAGAATACAGTTTAACTTCTCACTTCCCTGAGGGTAGTTGGAGAGTTCCTTGACAATACTCTACTTCCATCCCCCTCACCCTCAGTTACTTCAAAAGGCTTTTAACGGAGCTCTCCAATTGCCCTGCCTGTGTGAGGTATTTTGTGCCCTTCCCCTCCCCCGCCCAGGGCCCATTCTAAAGGGGTCTGAATTGACATCAGAGGCCTGTGAAAATTCTAGGGGAACAACAAGGACACTAACAGGGTAGGTCCACCAGGGTGGTTCTATCGCATGGGACTTAGGTGATGGAAATTATATCAAGTACAGTAAGTGCACAACATACCTCAGCACGGCGTGTTTGTGCTTGGAAAAACACTGCTTCTCTGTGATTGCATTTGGGGCAAGGATGTTCTTCTGTTCTAGGCAGGGTAGGGTCTGATATGACATCAGCAACTATATGAGTAAGCTCGCTGCAAGCAGAAAAGAGATTGAAACGTGAAATGAATGAAATAATTTACAGTTTCACTTGAGACCAGGAATAAACAAAACCCAACTTACTCAATTTCGTGCATGATTTTGTTGACGTAAATGCAGTTACTGTCTGCTAATTGCTTGTAATCACAATTTCGACACTGAGAGACAGAAACAATTAAAATTTCTCACATTACAAACAAACATTACCCTAGTTGTGATGCACTCAGCTCCGTACTCACCGCATACAAAAGGACCTTATTTTCTTTATCTTCTTTGGGGTAAAGCATGTTGTTACTGAAACATTACAGAGGAGCATCAACTAAACTATTTCTTTGTACACCGGAATCAACTCTAAAGAAATACCATAACCTTAATCTCTCTTACCATTCTTGACAGAACCTAATGCCAACGAAACCTGGACCATCGTCATGCGTGTCGTAACCAGATTTTGACAAAGAGGCCATTCTTCCCACAAAATACACTAATCACAAAACTGAAGAAGTCCTAACTTCACCGGCACTATCTGAAACGCTGAAACTGGTGCTTGTTTTTCTTGTTAGATCTAAAAAAACAAACAAATGAGCTATGACGTACTCTCACAACAATCAGGGTAGGTGCAACACTAAAATCAACCAAGAACCACCAAATGGCAATTCGGAAACAAATTAGAAAAATATAAAAATATACTCTTTATAGAAAAAATAAAATAAGATGAGCACAAAAGTACAATTAAAGATGGTAAAGAGGAGGTACTTCACGGTATGCGAAAGCACTTGTCGATTTTTTGTGGGACAAGTTGGTGCTTCCGATAATTTCCACTCGTTTCTTTTGGGGTTAGTTGTCGAAACGTTGTATGGTTCTCTTGAAGTTTTCGGGCAACTACTTATCCACTCGCTCGAGATAACTCTACTGACCAGTCTCGTGTGTGTTGTATACTTCTCTTTCCTTTTGTCTTGTGTCAGATTTTAGTCATGTGAAGCGATTGGTGTGTTCACACAAAACGGAGGGCATTCCCTGTTTGTCCATCGTGGTGACATTTTACCAGTGCCTTAAGCGTTTGGCTTATTGGAGATTCTTCCATATTATTGAATATTTTGATCCTTATTCTCTAGTCTAGGTAAGTTTATTCTAACGATTGACTTATCACTCTAACTCTAACCTGCCCGTCATTCACCTGTTGCCTAACGTATAGTTTCTCTTAACTTCCATGTGTATTTCTCAGTGGCAGAGCCATGGCTGATCTAGATACCATCAAAATAATATTGAGGAGTTTACTCATATCAACTCAAAAGTGCATGACCGTTTTTGAGTTGCAAAAAGACTACTTTAATAGTGAAGGTGAACCATGTCCATACGCTGCACTGGGGTATCGAAGCTTTCTCGCATTCTTAGAGTCCATACCTGATACAGTTAGGGTAAGTTTATCAGATCACTCGAGGAATTAAAGTTTTGTGCCCTTTCAACCTGCTGGATACTGTATGGCACTTTGAATTTTAGGTGACTGCCTCTGGTGAAGTGAGACCAGTGTCTACCAAAGAAACTGCACACATCCAGCAACTAGTAGCTTTACAGAAACGCCAAAAACCGAGAAGGTAGGCTCCTTCCCGAACTGTGTAATGGCTCTCCCTTAACACTATAATGTTTTTGATGTATACCTCTTTCTTACCTCATAGACGCCCTACCAGCTATCTTGGCAGTAAATCCTATGGAGGTTTTAGATCTCACGGAACAGGCGGTTTTGGATCTGGAAGTAGATCATATGGATCTGGAAGTAGATCATATGGATCAGGAAGTAGATCTTATGGAGGAGGCAGTAGCTCTTATGGAGGAGGCAGTGGATCTCATGGATCAGGCAGTGGATCTTATAGAGGAGGCAATGGATCTTATGGATCAGGTAGTCGATCTTATGGATCTGGCAGTGGATCTTATGCAAGTGGTGGCATATCTCATGGAACAAGCAGTGGATCATATGGAGGAGAAAGTAGGGTCTTCAGTGCTCAGAGCAAGCCATCCCCACCCTCTCAAAGTAGGTATACATTTGAGCATTGCCCTTCCACCACTATAGAAGAGCACTTCCAGAAAGTAAAAGAGGTTAAGGAAAAGGCAAGGAGAGAGGAATTGGGCTCTAGTGCTTATCCATCAACTTCCCCTGCCTCACCTTCCCCTGCCCTAGCAGCTATTCCTCTGACACACTCTAATACCAGAGAAGATGATAGTGTAGGAGTGAAAGGAGTTGAGCAGGAGGCTACGGAGAGAGGATTAGTTTCTGTGCCATCATCTTCCCCCCAAATCCCAGCAGGTTGGTGCGGAAAAATATTTTAATAATGATGCTGGCAAGTGCCTGAAGGTACCTTGACACAGTTTCCAGTGAGTTTTAGTTGATTAAAGTGTCAGGGAAGTTTCGAGTCAAATTTGCATATCTTTGGCTCTTTTATCACTTTCTTTTATCTGAACGACAAGCAGAAGTGAAGGTGACATGTCCAGTCTTATGTTGCTATTTGTCAAATATGGTATAGGAGGTGAACCAAGGTTTAGATTTTATTATTAATTTTAACAGCTAATCCTCTGTGTTTGAGTCAAATATTTAAAAAAATAATTAAAAAGGAATCCAAGCCATGCCTCTTCTTTTGTTTAAGAAAAAAAATGTGTTTCTTAGATAATGTGTTACAAAACTGAAAGCTAAATCCACTTAATTAACTGTTTCAGGCAATTCTTATCAGCACAGAATAGTGCCTGGTGGTAAAGAAAGTTCTGATGATTGTTCAGAAGATAGTTTTTATGAAAGGTATGTGTCATATCATAAGTACAATTGCTCTTAATTTTTCAGCCTTTTAAGGTCACATTTGTATTAAAGTACTTCTTTTTTAATCTTTAGATTTCACGATCCAGAGGATAGGTGTCCTGTCCAGGTGAAGATGGAGACATCAAAACCTTTAGCAAGCACTGACAATGCCTCTTGTTTGGACGGCTATTTCAATTCATCTAGCAATGTTAATTATACCTTGAAAACTAACTTGAAAAATCTTATCAAATCTTACCCATCAGGACTATGGGCCTGTGTTTTACCAGAAAAATATGAGGTAGTCACATTTTCTTCTTCTTATTATTATTATTATTATTACAATTATTTAATCTATCTGTCATTAAGACTTTTTCAATACCAAATTTTGACAATGGGTGAATTGAATTGTTTTGAGGATTTAATTTTGTGAATAGCTATGGGATGTTGCATTGTTTGTTTTTTTGCAGGAAAAATTTGGTGTCTGTTTGAATTGGAATGAGCTTGGCTATGATAGCATTATTCAGATGGCTCATGACTTGCAAGATGTTTTTGATTGCAAAAGGGTTAAGAGTGGCGACTGGATGTTGTTTGACGTCTCAAATAATGTGACTGATGATGAGAGTGACTCAAAGCCAGGTATTATATTTTAATTAATTACTATTTAAGAATGGTAGTTAAATTATTATTTAAGGAGCTGGAACTATGGATTCCTTTTTTATATAGCAGCTGTAAACTAAGTACATGCTAATTTTTTTATTTCCAGTTATTGATTTGTCATTGTCTGTCAAGAGAAAAATTTTTGATATTGTTCAGAGATACACATCTGGCATTCGCGGTGAACAACTTGCCCAGTTGTATGAGGTGACCATTTCTTGTTATGTGGAGTTTGACATTGTACTAGGTAATGTGAATGTGTAATTGGTGTACTGACGTGTAAATATTTACAATTTTTTAGGAATCTTATGGTAGATCTCTAATTTCTGAAGCTCCTGTGTTTAAAAGCTTGGAAGACCTGCTGAGTTCTTTGCACAATTCAGTGATCCGTGTACGTTATATTCGCAGAGAATGTTATGTATACCCTGGAGAGAAGCCAGAAGAACAGCTCATGCCTAGTCTGGATGTGGATTTAGTAAGGATCTTGTATTAGGCGGTATTAGGTCAATGTTCTGTGTTCTTGCAATCTTTTGCATTTGAAGTAACTAAGGTTTTTTTCGGTTCTCAGACGGAGAAGCAACTCTTGGGATTGTATCCAGAGGAAGTCATGAAGCCAGGAGAAACCTTTCCACTTCCTGAGCTGCCTCCCAATGCAGAGCCTGGGGAATATGTAGAGCTCAAGGTTGCTGAAGTCTACTCTCCACACAAGTTTTGGGTCATGCTAAGAAAAGATGCTCTCACATTAAACAGGTTGATGGATGAACTACAGTAAGTTTAATTTATAAAATGTCTCATCTCACTAGTATTGATGACATATCTATACCTACTTCAATCAGCTTATTTCCGAACCATGTTTCTTATGGATTTTTATCTGTTCATCAGAGATTTTTATCAAGATCATGGAGCTAAATATGTCATGCCTGATTGCACAATTGTAGAAGGACAGTGCTGTGTTGCTATATATGATGGCGAGTGGCATAGAGCTGTAATTAAATCTGTTGGTGAAACCCCAGAGGTTTGTAATGAAAATATCCTACTATCTATGCACCTGACATTTATAGTTACTACACCCATCAATGATCTTTTTTTTTTTTTTCACTTCTGCAGGTTATATACATTGATTATGGAACAGTTTCCAAATGTTCCAAAACTGATCTACGTTTTATTCATAGTGATTTTTCTGTATTACCTAAACAAGCTATTCGGGCATCTTTAAGTGGTATTGAGCCACCAAATGGCTCACAAAGATTTTCAAAAGAAGCTGGTTTTGCTTTTCTAGCTCTTGTTGTTGACAGAGAATTAATCGGCTTGGTTCAAAAAGTTGATCTAGAGGTGACAGGCGTGTATGTACCCTTCTTGTCCTGTAGTGTTTCACAACTTTTTAAATCTTTCCTTTCTTTACTAGGAGCCATTTTTGGAACTTTTCCTTATTGACACTAATGGTGAAACAGATATTCATCTTAATGACGTGCTAGTGACTGAAGGTCATGCTTCATTTAAAGATGACCTCCTAGAAACAGCAGATTTAATCAAGGAAATTAATGGAGAGCCTGAAGAAAGTTGCCGCTCAGTAGAAAATGGAGAGACTTGTGTAAATGAGACTGATCATGGAAAGACTGAAGCTTGCCCAGCATCTACTCAATCTCAGAATACTATGCCATCGTCACCTGTTTGCTCAAGCTCTTTATCAGCACCCGTGAACAATCACAACAGTTTCCCAACTGTCCCTACTGTATCTTCTAGTGTATCACAGACTCAGGTAAATTTTGAGGCCCTTTTCATTCTGACAATAAGCTGTAAATTTTTACCTTGTTATTTTCTAGGTATTTCTTACATCTTTATTTTCTCTATACAGGGAACTTCAGTATCTCATTTGCCACCTCCTGGCTTTGGGGTCACAGGCAGTCAAAGTCCTGCCGCTGGTTACAGTGTACCTGCAACATATCCTTACATGTTCCCTAATCCACTGATGAATCCCTTAGCTGCTTATTCTGTGGCGGGCATGTCACAGGTATGCAGCCAGTCACAGTCACTGTTGCATTAAGCTCCTGAAACCTGTCATGTGGTATGTCATGCCGTGTTTTCATTGTATTTTGGTGATCTATCTCCTGTTTCCAGGTTGGTGCAGCGTTGCTTTTGCAACAACAGCAATGGCAACAACAACAGGCAATTGCCATGGCCTACTACCAAAACTTGTACCAGCAGTCAGCTGCTGCCCTTTTCAACGCTCAAGCAAGAGCAACAGCAGATAATGGTTGGTCCGCATCATCCAGTGTCAGTCAAGCGCAGACCAATGACAAAATTCCTCACAAGGCAAAGTCTGTTGTAACCCAACACACACTATCAGAAGTAAGCAGTTCAGAAATGAACATAGATGATGAGACTAGTAGGGGAAAATCTACTATGGCTGTGGAAATGGAGGCACCAACATCTAGTTCTAGTTCATCAGAAGACTACAATATAAGAAATAGATTAGCCTCAAGAAGAAAGAAATCTTTTTATTCTTCTCCAATCAATTCAAAATCACAGCAGAGAGTTTCTCATCATGATTCTGAAAATTCAGATGACTCTTCAGTGCCATCATCAACGTCCTCTTGTCGAAATGTGGCTCCAGATTTAGTGCAAAGTATTGGAAATTTAAACTTGTCATCATATTCAAATAATTCGACTGTTACTAATTTTTGGAAGATTGTTGGTAGGTATTAATGTCTGATAGGTTTTTTTTTAGGATTATTGCATTACATCATGCTTATGTCTTTTGTTACTTTGTACAGAAATAAGTGGACGTACATTACATCTTTTCAATATTGATGAGAAAGCATTTCTAAGCACAGGAGAGTTGGCTCGTAACTTTACAAAGTTTAGTACATGCGATATTTTGGTCAGAGTGTTGAAAAATATGGATATTAACCCACCTTACTGCAAACTACCTAGACAAGAGAATTTGCCTTTATTCTCTGCTCTTGATGGGTATGTCCAGTCAATATTTTTATGGACAGTAGTATATTTTGTCAGTCATTAGACTCCTATTGTGTTGTATGTCCTATGTTTCTTTTTTTGTCAGGCATGATGGAGACATCAAATGTTTTGATCTATCTAGAAACAAAAATGGGTCAGTTATTGGAACTTTCCATGTAACCCCATTGACAAATGTTCCAAGCATGATGATAGCCCTTGACCTAGATACATCTATTATAAAAGAATTCCGGGTATGAATATTTTTATCTTTTTCTCCAGTTTTATTGAAAACTACAATCACATTATACTGCTGATGTTTTGTTGCAGCTGCTCCGGGATTCTTTCAACCCTAATGATAGTTATTGGACTGACTGACTTCTGGATTCATTTTATGTTATAGATATGAAAGTTAATTAATATTAACTATCCTCTGAACTTTGAAGTGTATTTCAAGGTCTGCAGATGGATATTTGCCTGTGTTACTAACTTTAGTGTTGTGTTGTCATTCTCCTCTCTCCCTTTGGGAGAGAGAAAAGAATTATTTCTGTTTTCTTCTTAGCTGGAGTTTATTCAAGACTTTGTTCAAGATATTTTCTCTACTTTTAAAGTTAAATCACTATTAAACTATTATTTTATTGCATTAATTTATGTGTTCAAATAAAGTTGTGAAATCAATCAATATTTAACGGTGACAGATTTTAATCATTCTCCAATTAGTTCCATTTGAAATTAGTTACATTTATCAGAAAAGTGGATCAGCAAGGCTTGTACTGGCAGCAAGATAAACAAACATCTGTAGAATATGCGTGCCATACTGCATGTAAATTACAGGGTCAAACCTTAACAGACTAGTGCTAAGTTATCACTCAATTTCAAATTAGTAAGTATTGTCTAAAATCCATTCTGCTTGTCATTCAACAAAAACAGATAGAAAATACAAAACCTGTAACCTACATCACAGAGGCACTAGTGTGCCCTTCCCTGGTCCTTGTTGAACTTCCACATGCATGTGCTTTGAAAGATATTGACATTAACAACACATCTGCTTGGCAGTAAAAAGTATCAATCACAATACTATTAAGAAAAAATAATTCATAACATTTAAAATTTTCCAATAAAAATTTCCATTTACCATTGAGATAAATAGATGGAGGAATACTATACACATCATCTGCACCATTCCACATTCATTCCAAAACAAATAAAAAAAAAAATGACAAACATTCACTTACATACTCAGGCAATTTGATGATAGTAATACTAAAGCAGTCAGCCTAAGGCACCCTGCCCAGCAAATATCACAGAAAATACGGAGTTGAGGTTCTTGGTGGTATAACTCTTGCACAGTCAGGCACAGCAATAAATATTTTGGCTTCCCTGCAGTCAATGCTTTTAAATTCCAGAATTGACGCCACATTTCCACAACGATAACAGTAGTTAGGAGCTGACCAAACTGTTACAAGCTTGTCGTCAAACGTGTACTTAATACCTAAATAAGAAGAAAAAGAACAACTTTACATCTGCAGATGCAAACAATAAACATATATGCGATCAAGCATGGCTTACCTTCATGAACTAGTTGATGTGCTCTACATATAAGCTGCAAGTTGTTGAGTTTCATGAACTCATGAGTTACCTTAGCTCCAAACAACCAACCAGCACCTCGTGGACTAACACTCCATGTTTCCACATCCTCTGGATCTGACCATACAAGATCACAGAAAGCACCTAAAGTGTATTTACGTGAAAAACAAAATTATTCAGTACAACCAATTTAAAAACCAACAAAAACTGAAATTTTTGAACGTTCAGGACAATACCTTTGTGAGGTATTTCTTGATTGCGATCAATGCTTCGTATTTGGTCAAGAGTTCTAATATCTGGGGATAACCCACCATGCACACACAGCACCTGCTCATCAATTAGCTAGAAAAAAAGGACAAAAAAACAATCAATAGTAGTTAACTGGAAAGATAGATATTACCATAAAGATGTAATAAGATTATTCTTACTGCAGCTATGGTCAGAAGATCAAAAACCCGACAGCAATATCTCCAGGCGTTGGCATTTCCATATTTGGTTTGGCATTCATCTGGGAAAAAATTGCTGAATTTAAAAATTGATAAGACTAGAAATGCTGACAGAATTAATAATGCCCTAGGACAATACAAGTCAATTTCTGTTAGCGCAACTCTACTGGGACCACGGGCCGAAAACGTTGTAACGGAGAAATCATTGAATCCGAGAGCATTCGAAAAATCATTATATCCTGGGATTGTACTAACGAGGATTGACTGTATCATCATCTACAGTTGGGGCAGTAGATTATCATTAATGCAATCAAAAAACAGAAATCTGCTCACCATAAAATCCATAAACTTGAGTGATTTGGCGAGACTCATGGTTGCCTCTCAATAAAGTAATGCGGTCTGGCCATTTAGCTTTCAAGGTAAGTAAGCGAGTAAATGTTTCCAAACTATAGTAACCTCTATCAACAAAATCACCCATAAAGATGTAATTGGTGTCTGGAACTTGCCCACCATTCCGAAAGAGTTCTTCAAGATCGTAAAACTACAAGAGGTTCAAACAAAAGAATGAGATCAAAGAACATAAAAGGTATAATATAGTACAGACAATAAATAATGAAATAGGTTATGTTCAACCTGGCCATGAATATCACCGCAAACTGTGACAGGCGTCGACACAGGTTGGATGTTAGACTCCTCCAAAAGAAGATCACTCACAAGATCACATAATTTCTGAAAGAAATTAGATAACGGACTGAAGAAGCGCAATGACAACACTCTCCAAGAACAAGGGCGGGATAGAAATCACTGACACACAACATTTCATAAAGAGATCGGTAAATGCAGAAAAATACAGTCACTCGATAAGCTCTATTTACCTTTAGATCATTCTCTGGCAAATATTTGCACTGTTTAGCTATTTCAATCCAGTTGTCAACGTCCGACATTTTGAAAAATGCAATGCCTTTTGGAATTAATCTTTCTGCTTCTGCTCCCTCTTCTTCGGCCCTCGTCCCTCTCCACCGTCCCTCGGCGAGCGGCAAGGCGAGGAAGAGGAGAAAGGAAAGGGAAAACAGAAAGAGAGGGGAGAGGGGGAAGGGGAAGGGTGGAGAAAAACGGAAAACAATGCAAATTAGTGATGAAGGCGGGATCTTCTCGCCACCTAGACGGCTTTAAACTTCAGTCAGAATCAGAGTCACTATTGCAATCTGATTAAAATGATGGAAAAGACAAATAGCATCGGGCAAAACTTTCGGAGGGCTGTTATCAGAACAAGACAGCCGACTAGTAATCAAGGGGGCCGTGTTTAAATATTCGATCTTGAAGCTGAAGCAGTGAGCAGTGCATTGTGGGTTATCCGCCATCTTACTTTTCCACCCCTCTGTCGAAGACAAATACAGACACTCGAGCATTGGTACTATTTTCGACAGAATAAAAGTCCGTCACGATGGCAGGTAACGTGGGGATGGAGCAACTCATCCCCATAGTCAACAAACTTCAAGATGCCTTCACTCAGCTTGGGGTTAATATGCAACTGGACCTCCCACAAATTGCTGTTGTGGGAGGCCAGAGTGCAGGCAAGTCCTCTGTACTGGAAAACTTCGTTGGCAAGTAAGTCCTCTGAAATTGTTCAATTATGACTCAAATGGCGTGACTGGAATTTTTTCCTGGTACCTTTCACCATTTTGGACTTGTTATCATTTTCTCGGCCAAGTGTGACGATCGAAGGCCCAGGACCCATTGGTCAGGATGACACATAAAATTTCAAATTACTGTGTTTCAATGAGCTATGTTATGTATTAAAGTTGGTTGATGTGTTTCATGTTGCCCATTTTCTAATCTTAATGTACTGTAATCATCTGGTGCTCTTTAGTAATGTTACTGGTTTGACCTTAACCACACCTGTCAAACTGGGTCTGTGGGCTCAATGGCACTTCATTGATTTGCTTGACAGCATGGTTTATCAAATTTATTGATCTTTATCTATCTTCTACCTCAATTCTTATTTAAAATATTTTTATCTTGAAATACTCATGTTCATTAAAAGATAAAGTTCATCCAACTGTGTGTGATAAAAGATCAATTTTGTAGTGCACATTATGAACTTAAGTCATACTACCTTCATTTACCAACAATTTTGATATTCTGGAACATTTATTGTTCTGTGTTTTTTAAGTTTTTACTTGTGGGTGCTGAAATAGATTATCATAGGTGTCATGTTTTTCTGATCAGTTGGGCGTGTCTTGTCAATTTGTGGACATTTTATATGGGCCACATATTTTGTGAAAGTATTACAACAATAAACAACAACTTTTTAAAAAGTTGTTGTTTTTAGGGCTCATTATTGTGCATTATTTCCCCTTTTTTTTTGGGGGGGGGGGGGGTGTAATATCAACCTGATATCAATTAAAGTTGTATTTATTTCAATGCTTGTTTTGGTTTATTAACTTTTTATCTTTCAAATCTTTCACAGCAGTTTTTATTTTTGTTTTCTTTCAAATTTTGGTAATACCTATTACGTAGCAATATAACTTTATGATCAAGCCTTCACTTTTATCTGATATCAGAGGTTGTCTCATAGACCTAAAGTATATATTTTGTTCCTGTTTTTCAAGCTTTAATTGTTTTATCAGTAGGGTTCTGATCATCCTCTTGTATTTTTCCTTTTCAGGGATTTTCTTCCTCGAGGTTCTGGTATTGTGACACGTCGACCTTTAATTCTACAGCTTATCAATTCCAACTCGGGTAAGTCAATCTCTGATGAAGATTATGAGATGAGTGTCTCTAGTATTCATGATTGTTGTTATCTGCATGTTATCCTGCCGCCAAGTGTCCCTTGCAAGTATGGCTTCCAAAGTGGCAAGGCAACTCAGAAGTTATGGAAAAGGCCAAAATATTGGTTGAGGAAATTCAAAAGTGATTGGATAGTATAAAACTCTTCTCTATCTGTTTTAATAGTTTTTGAAAATTTTGGGGATTTTGAGAGGCACGATTGGGGATGTTGTGTAGAAAGCCAAGTGAAATTTAGGGATGATCATTTTTTTTCACACTTTAACCTCTATGTGTAATTGTGCTATCATTAACATTTTTTCAAACTAGCACAAGTACCTTGGAAAATAGTAAAATGTTATTACAATTTCTCTTTGAGTAATTAAAATAGACTTCTTTTTTATCTGACCTACTAAGTGATGCTCTAACTGGGCAGCTGCTTGCTACAGGAAGTTGTGTGATAAGACCATAATGTGATACTCACCCCCATTCTCCCTCTTGCTTGTTCCAGAACATGCTGAGTTCTTGCATTGCAAAGGGAAGAAATTTGTGGATTTTGATGAGGTTCGCAGAGAAATTGAGGCAGAAACAGACCGCTTGACTGGCTCCAACAAGGGAATATCTAATGTTCCTATCAATCTAAGAGTTTATTCTCCCAATGGTAAGTGGATGCCATATAGCCAATGTATACTTGAAACTACATAATCTAATTTTCTAACCTCCAGTTTTCAGCTCCAGGCGGTAAATTTCATAAGTTGCATTTTAAAACAAAATAATCAGTTAGTGTTTACAGGAAATCTCTAATCTATTTGACAAGGTGTGATGTGATAGAATCTTGTTTTTGACAGTGCTGAACATCACTCTTATTGATCTTCCTGGACTTACTAAAGTGCCAGTTGGTGATCAGCCTCCTGATATTGAGCAGCAGATCAGGGACATGCTTTATCTCTTCATATCAAAGGAAACATGCCTAATTCTGGCTGTGACACCAGCAAACACTGATCTTGCTAATTCTGATGCTCTTCAAATTGCTAAGTCGGTTGACCCCGATGGTATGGTTCCTCTCAGATTTTCAGAAGTAATTTGGTAGCCTTGTAGGTGGAACCATGTTGAAAAGTAGTTGTACTTGTGCACAATTTTATTTTTGTTACATTGGTTGTTTTGTAGAACACACATGGCAGTTAATCTTTGTTTCTGTTACATTTTCTATTGTCAGTGGTACACACTTAGTATTTGACTTTGGTTTATTTTTGTTCATTAGGATTCGTGGAGCGTATGGCAGAATCCCACCATTGCTTTTGTAAACCTTTCACCCTCATTTTGGCATATATTTTACTTTTTGGTTGCTTTTTCTGTTTTGTGTCTTTTAGTTCTTAATTTAACACTAATTGATCTCCCGGGCATGACAAAAGTACCTATTGGTGACCAACCTAAGGATATTGAACATCAAATTCGCTCAATGCTCCTTCAATTTATTCAGAAAGATAATTCTTTGATATTGGCCATTACCCCAGCGAATACAGATTTGGCAAATAGTGATGCATTAAAGTTGGCCAAAGAAGTTGATCCTCAAGGTACTGTCTTCATTTGATTAAATTTTCACATTTAAGAACATTCAATCTAACAAATTTCTTACAACATTTATAAGTAAATGTTAATGTTCAATATTGAGTTTTCATAATCACATAAGGATGTAAGTTATGGTGCTAGGAGACACTTACATTTTGTTAGATCTTTCGAAGCCTATAGTTATTCAAGTAGTTGGTTCCGTTGTTTTATCTTATTGTTTATTTTTGCTCAAAAAGTAGATGTAGCAGTTGCTTAATGCATGTTGTAGAAGTAATTTGCCAGACATACATGAAAGTTATAAGTTTGAAATAAAGATTGTTAATGATAATACAACCACAGTAAACTTTAAGTTGATCTGTATTTTGATTTCCTGCATAGGTATTCGAACAATTGGTGTAATTACAAAACTTGATTTGATGGATGAAGGCACGGATGCCCGTGAAATCCTTGAAAACAAACTTCTTCCCTTGAGGAGGGGTTACATTGGTGTTGTCAATCGATCTCAAAAAGATATTGAGGGCCGAAAAGATATTAAGAATGCTCTTGCCGCTGAACGTAAATTCTTCCTCAGGTGGGTTATTCTTCAGCTGATAGCCATTTTAATTTGTTTCTTTGCAATCTTCAATTCTCCACTTTCTCCCTTGCAGTCACCCAGCTTATCGACATATGGCAGATCGATCGGGTACTCCATACCTTCAGCGGGTTCTGAATCAGCAGCTCACAAATCACATTAGGGATACATTACCTGGGCTTCGTGACAAATTGCAGGCAAGCAATAAATTCATTATCAAAGGAACAATATTTTATGTATTGTTCTTAGATGGATTGATATTCTCAAAGTGTGTCTCATTTGCAGAAACAACAACTTGCCTTAGAGAAAGATGTTGAACAGTACAAGCATTTTCAACCAAACGATCCAGCAATCAAAACTAAGGCTATGTTGCAGTATGTGTCCAGTGTCTCAATCTCTAAAAATCATACATCACTTTTCAAGTCATATGTTTTATTGTTCATTTTGTGTTTTTCAGGATGATTCAACAGCTGCAATCTGATTTTGAACGCACCATCGAAGGGTCTGGTTCTGCGCAAATTAACACTATGGAACTCTCTGGTGGTGCAAAAATTAATCGCTTGTTCCACGAGCGTTTTCCCTTTGAAATTGTAAAAATGGAGTTTGATGAAAAAGAACTGCGACGTGAAATAGCATTTGCTATTCGTAACATTCATGGTAATGCTTCTCTCAATATCACTCTTTTACCCATAATTGGTTTCATTTTAAATTAATTTTTTTTTTTATACCAGGTATCAGAGTGGGTCTGTTCACTCCTGATATGGCTTTTGAAGCCATTGTCAAAAAACAGATTTCCAGGCTCAAAGAACCTAGTTTGAAGTGTGTTGACCTAGTGGTGCAAGAGTTGTCAAATGTTGTGCGTGTTTGCACTGATAAGGTGAGCACCTTTTCAGTCTAGGTCAATTCGGCTTTGGTTGTACCTTGCAAAGTTCGGGATTTTAAAGGTATTTTGACATCTGCTTGGTCAGTAATCTAAATTGCCTATGTACTACTCCTTGTGCAGATGAACCGCTATCCTCGTCTGCGTGAAGAAACTGAACGTATCATTACAACCTACATTCGCAACCAAGAACAGAGGTGCAAGGAGCAGCTTATTCTCTTAGTTGAGTGTGAACTTGCCTACATGAATACCAACCACGAAGACTTCATTGGATTTGCAAAGTGAGTTGTCTTTTCATTTCACCTCATTTTAAACTGAAGGGTGGAAATACAGTTAGTTTGTGAGCTTTGGGGTCACAGTGTGCAGATTCAGTTCAAATTTTAAAAAGTTTCTCCCCCAGTGTTACATACACTTTAAAACAATTGCCTTGGAATGATATTAAGGGTAATAATACTTTTCTCAATGAGGGTTCTTTGATTTTATTTTTTAACTATAATTCTGTACATTTTCTACCACGCACATTAAAATGTTAAAACCTGATGTAAGAGATTTGTCAGATAAGTCAGAGAGCACATAATCTCTAACAGATTTTATTACTTTGTCAACGCTGTAAATTGTAAATGCAATGTTGGTGCTGTTGCTTTTCTTGTGTACTTTGTTGGATTTGTAGATCTTGCATTTTGCAAGCACAGAGTTAAACCAAAAGGGATGAAAATTTGCACATTAGAACCAAGCAGTCAACCCGATACCCAAAAATATGGCAAAGTGCTTTGTACTGGGTTAAAATGGTATTTCATGCTTTAACTACAATTTTTAACTGTCTTTCTGAAGTTTACATTATTTTTAAATTGAAATCATCTGAAGTACAATATGTGGGTATTTTCAACCACACTCGAAGCTTTTGCCATTTTGAGTTAACCATGACTAGTGAAATACTTGTTCAGTCCAACCTTTGTCAAATATTCTCCATTTTTCTTCTCACTCTTGTCACTTGGCCACTGATTATTTTTTGCGGATATCTCCCTGCCACATTCATGGACAGTTTTGGTATTTCAGACTCTGTATGTAGTATCTGTTGATTCAGGTGATTAGCTCCTTAAAATCTCTATATTCACTATTGTGTTCCTTCTTGAACAAAAGAAATTCAATTGCTTGAACCACTTTCAACATTAATGCTGTCAAAAGTTATGAAAACTTTACTATATTAGACCACGTATGTTACATGTACATAATCCGTAACTTTGAAGTGATTAGCCATTGAAAGCTGTGGTCCTCATTGGAATCATTGTGTGTCTTTCTTGTGTCTATTAATCGGAGCTTTGCTTTTTTGCTCTGGGACTTTAGTGATATAGGACTGTAATTAATCTTTGCTTTGAAGAAATTTATGTGATTATTTGCCTCATGTGTCCTCTTTGCTCTCATGGACAACTCTTCAAACAGCATTATGCAGAGGTATGATTTTTTTTTTGTGTGTTAATTTTTTGTTATTGCACTGTTGTTGGGCTTACTTACCTCTTGTCTGTCATGTAACTCTGTAATGCACCATCTCTGTGACAAAAGTGAAAAGAAAGTGAAGAAGATATAATCGGTCTCAAATCAGTCATTTGGAGCCACAGAACACAGTGTAATTAGTTCCCCTGTGCACTGTGGTTGTGGGTAGGCATTGACTCCACAGCAGGAATATGTGGTCAACATTTATAATACAGGGGGTATGGTGGGGTTCCATCAACCACATACAATGTATTAGATTGAGACTCACAGTATCACTTCAGTAAATTAAAACAGTATTGACTTTTAAAATTTGTCTTTGTAGTTTTGTGCTCTGCTTTTTTATTTCATTTGGTGTAAGCTTGAATCAAATGTGCATTTTAAACTTAATGCCTCTATTGTGCGTTTTTGTGGGGGTTGAAGCTTTGTTGGTGCTTTCTCAAAATTTAAATTACTTATTGAGACACTTGTACTTACTACAATGGAAGCTGAAACCTTTTTTAAAAATCCGTTTCCCTTCTTTTCTTCTCTTCTCATTAAAGTCTATATTTTCATATTGTTTGAAAGAATGTTTCAAGGATGCATCTTATAACATTACTTTTGTGTTAGTAGAATTTTACTTCACAATCTTTTTGTGTGTGTATGCTTGACTATTGACTTTTAAATAACTTATTCATTTATTTTTTCTTTACAGAAAAATAGTAATTTGGCAACTTTTTGTAATAATCTTTCCTTTTGCAGCGCGCAGAACCAAACAGATAATTCAGCAAAGACAGGCCGCAAGCTGGGAAATCAAGTCATACGGAAGGGATACATGTGTATTCACAACCTTGGTATCATGAAGGGAGGCAGCCGTGACTACTGGTTTGTTCTTACTTCAGAAAGTATTTCCTGGTTCAAGGACGAGGAGGTTTGTGTTTACTTTTGTTTCTCAACATTTTACCACCTCGCCTAGTGCTTATTGTGGAACTTCAAAGTTTTACTGCTTAGGATGCCCTAGAAAACCCCTTTCAGTGGATATTTTGTAGCTGAGTTTACGCAACATTCTAGAATCTATGTGTAATTTCTTAAATTTTCAGGAAAGAGAAAAGAAGTATATGTTGCCTCTTGATGGATTAAAATTGAGAGATGTTGAACAGGGCTTTATGTCAAGACGCCACACTTTTGCTCTCTTCAACCCTGAGGGCAGGAATGTTTACAAGGTAAGGTTACATTAAGTTTACATCCATAGTTAGAAATGTTAATTTGTATGTGGATTGAGATGAGCACAATCTTACATCTTGTTTGAAGGATTACAAGCAACTTGAACTTAGTTGTGAAACTCAAGATGATGTGGATTCATGGAAAGCTTCCTTCCTTCGAGCTGGTGTGTACCCAGAGAAGGCAACAGAGCAATCCAATGGAGAGGAAGTAAGTTTTAACTTTTTATATAATCTTTTCCTATTCTGCTGTCATTTCATTTCTTATCTTGTCATTTATTTTTCCTGTTAACTTTGCCACACTTCTAAATATTTCACTCAATGCAAAGAGCATCCTCCATTCAATCTTGATAACTATTCTTTTATATTTATGAATTTCAGTGTGGGTGTTTACTCAAACTATTAAGGAAAAATTATCCAAGGTCACTCTTATAGGTTTTTCATTCTACCTGATTGTTACTTTTCTTAAATATTATTTTGTTTTCTATCTTATTTTTTCCTCAAGGTCAGGGTAAGTGCGTAGAAGAGGCGGAAGATACCTGCTGGCTGGCAGTCTCTGAAACTGGTGCTGTGAACCTTTTCTAGCTCCTTCTCTCACCCTGTATGTTTTTTGCTGCTCATATCATGCTTTGGTTTGTTTTGTTTCTGCCTTTCCCTCCCATATTTTTATGCTTGTCTTTTTTATTTGATTCTCTATTTTATAATTACTCATGGTATTTTGTGTGTGAGTTTCTGTATGTTTGTGTCTGTACTGGACAGGCTGTAATGTATGGTAATTGCATTGATTTTAAGCTTTCACTTAAGGATATTGCCCACATGCAGAATTGGTTGTGTTTAAGGTAACAAGTTGTGTGTTTGTTTATTTACAACTGAAATATTTGTTTCAGTGTCGAAAGGCTGATAAAATGGGTAGATTGGTGGTTGTTTAGAAGTTTGAAGGGTGCAGAATAGGCAATATTTGGCTTTGGAAGGTTTTGGAGGGCACATTTAGTGACTGTAGTGACTGATGATATATGAAATGGAGGTCATTATAAACATAGATGTGTATTATTACAATTGCAATATGTACATCAAATAAATAATATAAAGGAGCAAGGATAGGCGATTCAGTTTCTTACATTTAACTAGGTCTTCTCTTTATATCGTCTTTAAAAATTAACCTTCTATATCTATTTCTTTAATTACTGGTTAGCCCTGCAATCCCCTTCCACAGGGACATGAGTGACAGGGGTAGGGATTTTGTTTTAGCTGTGGGAAGATCCATGTGTGTTTGTAGTCTGTAGTGCAGGTCGTGTGTCGTGAGTTTGGTGTAAATGCATGTCTTCTTCTTTCCCAGCTAACTACAGCAGGCATGTTTGCACTGTTTTTTTTCTTCAAACTTTTTACTTATGTGAGAATCTGAAAACAGTGAAGCTGATGATGTTGGAGGTGCTGCAGAAGTATCCTCTCCTCACATTTTAGTGGATGCTAAACTTCTCAAATACGATGAACATTAGCAAGATAATGTTATGCTTACATCGTAAGGACTGATTCAGGCCACTACTTCAAAATTTGCACCTGTCTTTCAAAATATTGTTGGTCTGTGGAAGTTTATCTTGGGATATCATGTATGAATGGTGCTCAATTTGATCTATCTTCACCTATGGAAGTCAATTTTGTATACAATTGCTTTTTGGTCAACCAATCAAACTTTTTAAACTAAAATATGGAAATACTAGTCGTATGATGAGGGTTGTTTAAGTACTGATCTAATTGGTATAGTCATTGTTCTTTATGCCACTTTATTCTTCACAGCCATCAAGTTTGCCAACAGATTTGCATATTTGGTACTGTTCCTTTTTTTTTTAATCTACTGTGTTAGGAAATGCACATCTCTGTGGTCAGTGAAAGTATTAATGTGACACTTTTTTTATAATTTTGTAATTTTTCTTTTTTGACAATTAGTTGATCTGTTGTTTTATGTTGATGTGCATTATATGTTGCATATAATGTTCAGTTTACTGGGTTAAATACAGTACAAGTTCATTTATGTAGTGGGAAATTTTCCAGGATTGCATGAAATAATCATTTCAGGAATTTTCAAATGACTTTTGTACCGAAAAGGCATTTAGTGATAACATTTTTTGTCTTTGCCCTATTTTTCTCCATCGGAGGGGTATGAGGTTGGTAACATAGTTTCTTCAATGTAGCTTCACTAGTTTCTTGTAGCCTTTCAACTGGTCCATGAAAAGCTTTTCTTACTACCTGTATTTATATAGACAAAGACTCTTACTTTTTACTAGTGCAGGAATTTTATTCCAATAGAGTTGATTTTTATGAAGGAACTTAGTCTTTTGCAGATTAATGAATTCAACGTAGATGTTACATTCAGATTTTGGGATGAAGTACTTATAGGGCCAAAACACACATGGTTCAAATTATTAAATGTTGCTCTGTTAGTTGGGTATGAGGGTGGAGAGTGCTTTATTAGAGACAGAATTCTATCTGAGAAGGTCGGTTTGGGAAACACAACTATTACAGCATTTAAACATGGGATTTAATGGTGTTGCTGCTAGTTCAGTTTGAGCATAATATATGCTTAAGTTTTTCTGTTCCGTTACCTTAGGGCTTATGCATGCTAGGTAGCCTTGCTTTGTCAGTGGTTAGAGGAAAGTAAACTGAACACATTCATTTGCTTGGAAATTAATTTTAATTTTATCTTTGTAATTTTCAGTTTATTCACACACACTTCGTGCACTAACATTATACCACCAAAACTTTACTTTCAGGAATTTTATTGGTATGAATTTTACTTGACTCTGCCGTTTTGTAAATTGCAATGCTTAGTAATTGTTTTTAATATTACTGTGAAAGCCCTTTGACGGGCAAATCCAGCCTTTTCCCGATTTTACCAATGCCTCGCGTTAAATGCTGTTTTCAACCTTTTATATCAGGCTTTATTTGGTGAAAGCCAGAAACACATTTTTTTAAATTGCTGATTTTAATGATGCGATTTGGTCAATGCTGTCGTAAAATGTGAAAAACGGTAAAAGAGCGGTATTGAGTGGCCGGTACCCCGCGCGACTGGTGATCTCGTTGCCGCGAAAGCCTCACCCACTCAACAACCGTCTAAATTATGAATTCCTAGTGATATTTAAGAATTAATGACGGATAATAAGTGGAAAACTTGAGGCCTCCCTGTCTGGGAAGATTTTGACTGAGTAGAAAAGACCTTAAAGAAATTGAAATCACAAGACACTATCATCTGCTTTAATAACTATAGAGTGAACGATAATTTCATAATTGAGACAAAACAAGCGAAATTTAGGGCAGAAACATGGAAACAGCCGCCGCCGCCGCCGCCACCACCACCACCACAATTCTAGCTTTTACCGATGTGCGTCGGTCCGAAAACCTATTCGCCATGTAACTGTTACTAGCCAAAAAGTCCGTACAAAACCCGATTTTTCAAGTTGGAAATGGCATTTACCACGGAGCATCGGTGAAACTGGGCATTGACTGGGAAAAGCCCGGATTTACCCAGCTACGGGTTTTTACCGTAATACTTGTATCATTTACTTCGTTAAATGTTTGTATAGGAGAAAGAACCTCTCTTTCTCTCAAGATTGGTAGATGTTTTGAAGGATATCAGTGGTTGTATACTTTTCCAAAGATAGTTGCTCATACTAAATTTCTTGCTGCAATAGCTGTCTTGAATTTCCCCGTCATTTAAATATTCGGGAAGCTCTTGTTTCATGTTTCTTCCACAGAATCCTTCTGACACATTCATTTTTGGCATTGACTTGCATGTTGATTTTGATTTGTTGTGGTTACTAATATTTTTATGCCTATAATCTTTCAAATCACCATTTTTTCGTTATTTTCTTTGCATCAATTGACCTGCTCTAAGAAAGTAGGGTACTGTTGTTCTGCCAAAGTCAGAGCTCACTGTTTAGATGTTACGGTTCTTATAGTAAAAGCTGCCTAATTTCGCACTTGAGCAGCAAAGAATTCACTTTTATATTCGTCCTAGAAACTAGGCTAGACTTACCCTAGGTAATGTTTTTGAATGAGAAACACAATACTTGCTTTGTTGCTGGTTTGGCATCAGTTCTTTTGTTCTCTAAATTTGAAATATCTTTATTGTATTTGGAAGCTTTCTGTTACTTAAACACATTACTGTCACTAATTCTGGCTTCAAGAACACAGTAATGGTAGACATACTTTATCTTTGTTTGTCTCACTCATTTGGAGTCTCAGTTGAAAGTGATTGGATCACTGTATTTAATAGTTGTGTAACATACGTCACTGCCAATGCATGCTTGTTACACTGGGCTAGGCTGTATAGGAACTTTGTTTCTTAAATGAGGCAGAAGTATATTCTGTGTTGAAGTCCGAAAGGATTAGGAAGATAAATCTCAATATTTTCAAGTTAAACAAAGGTTCAAAGTGTATGCAGAGTATTTCCTAATGGAAACCACATTATTCTTGCAATGTCGAAGCTAAAGTGATAGTCTAATATATATATTCTAGTGTCTGACAACCTTAGAATTTTCCACACAACCTCTATTTGAACTACCGTAACATGATAATATACAATTTGTAAGTGATTAAAAGTTTTTGTTAAAATAACCAGCATACTGTAATATTGATAAGTTCCAAAAGATAATGTTGATGTCGGTCAAATGTTGCAACAATTTCACATTTCCTCCTGGGTTCTTTCTAATACTCTTGTGTCTGTATGAGCACTATTCTTTAAAATTGTCAACATTTTCTTACTCTACCATTGTATATAAGGAGGGTTTCGTGAACTGCAGGTTTCCAAACTCCATAGTTCTAGAAAAAGTAAACAGTTTTTTTTTTTTTCCTTTGTAATTGTTTTGTGATTTTGACTCAGTATGGGTTACCTGTTTCAGCAGGGAGGAAACGAGGGAAGTTCTTCAATGGATCCTATGCTGGAACGCCAAGTTGAAACGATTCGGAATCTTGTTGATTCATATATGAGGATTGTGACCAAGACAACCCGAGACTTGGTACCCAAAACCATCATGATGATGATCATTAACAACTGTAAAGATTTTATTAATGGTGAACTCCTAGCCCATTTATATGCCTCTGGAGACCAAGTAAGCTTGTTTTGTTATAAAAGAATATAGTGTATGGAATTTTTTATGCCTCAATCTTGAATTTCTTTTTCTGTAGTCATCCATGATGGAGGAAAGTCCAGAAGAAGCTTTGAAACGAGAGGAGATGCTAAGAATGTACCATGCATGCAAGGAAGCTCTGCGGATTATTGGAGATGTTTCAATGGCCACAGTCACAACGCCTGTTCCACCACCTGTCAAAAATGACTGGCTAGCCTCTTCCATCGAAAGTAACCCTAGGTGTGATCTGATTTTGACTTTTTTAAATTAGGTCTGAGTAAGGATATTTGAACATTCTTCTTTTGTTATGTTTCTACTGGCCAGAGGGCAAGGTGTAAATGCGAAACAATCCTTTTTTATTTCAATATTTGTAAAGTTTAAGACTTTCATTTTTGGGATCAATCAAAAACAAGAGATTTATACCTCCCTCTTCTCAAATATTCGTGTTGCGGCCAGAAATTTGTAGGGGGCGAAGCTGCTCTTTTCCATAAAGCGTTGAAAAGATTATGTGACGGCAGGTTATCTCCGCCTTCTCCTGGTGGTCCAAGAAGAGGTGTGCAGCCCATGCAGCCAATGGGTGGTGCACCAATGGGAGGATCATCACGACCTCCCCCAGTTCCTCCAGCAAGTGGACGCCCTGCTCCAGCTATTCCCAACCGTCCTGGACCAGGGGGACCACCAATGCCACCAGGCAGACCTACAGGCGCGGGCGCTGGACTACCTCCTCCACTCATCCCCTCGTGAGTATTTTTCACTTGTTTGTGTGTATTTGATGAACTTTTTAGCTCTTTTTAATCCTCAATGAGTACCTTCCGTTGTCCTTTCTAGTCAATTCAGTAAATTTAAGGAATTAGTTTGTCTGGAAAGTCAGTCTTGTGACTATTCCCTGTCAGTTATAGTGATTTTGCTCTACACTTATAAATGGCATGGAAAGAATATCAAGGTTACTTACTCTATTAATCATGCTGTTCTTGGGGAGACAAAATAATTTTATGCTACCATTATAGTGTTATCATTTAGTCAAATGCATTATCTTCTTGGAAACAGAGACTTATGTAACTTGCATTTAAGAATTGCAAATTCATGTATGCTGAACATTTGAAGATCTAGTTTCTAGCTGTTGCTAGAGCAGGTCTTCTAATAACTCAGTTAGGACTTTGCAATTCAATTGCAAGTAATGCCTTTCCCACAGCATTTTGTATTATGTACTCGGCTTCATGCAGTGCTACTGATTCAATTATGAAACTTGCTGATAGAGACATTAATATTTTTATATCTTTTGTGGAGATATTGTCGCATATGCCCATTTAATGTGTGGTACAGTTCTAAATTTGTTGGAGATTGGAATGGACAATTCTGAAGTTATTCTTCCTCTTAAACTCAATTAATTTTTGGCGTGCCTTCCTGAGCTTGGTGTGAGATGCGGCGTGGTTTTCTCTTGCAGGCGCCGCCAATAGGTGTGCATGAGTCTAATCGGTTAGGGCAGCTTCCTAACATCTATAACCTTCCCTGCAACAAACAACACTCACCTCTGGGAGATTGTAAAGCGCATCACTGTCAGTTGTCAACAATGAGAATAATTTGCTAATGGCGAAACATTTGCACCGTTTATCTCTAGGACTTAGCTCATTTAAAAAATATAAAGAAACAAAGTGAGAAAGAAAAGTATGGGAAACACCTTTTCCATGTCAAATTTTTGAGGATGTAAATGTTATTTTTTTTTTTTTTAGATTAATGTATCTAGTGTTGTATGTGTTTGAGGTGCTTTACATTTCTTTCATTGTGCTGAGCATTTATCCAGAAAATTTAGTTTAGCCCATAAGTCCGCACACTCCACCTACTTGAAGGAAGAAGCAGCCATGACCACCAACGACAACTCCTCTAACGTAGTTTTATTTGTTAACGTTGGGGTATCAGACGTGGACAAATGCCACAACTTCCCCAGCGTGTGCAACAGGAGGTTACACAAGCAGTTGGACAAGCTGTAGCTCGGGCCGCTGTCAACGAGTTTATGGGCGCATTCAAACGCTGAGATCATCATCTTCGATTCTTCCTAATGTAGCAATATCTGTATGTCTTTTAATGGAATATTTTATAGACAATCTTGTCATTTAAATCAGATAGATGAATGAATGATTCCAAATGCATATCTTGGTTTTATCAATTTGGATAGGCCTAACTTGTTTAAAGTTGAAGAGCATATTGCATAGGAATTAAAAAAGATCACAGCTCTGTCAGTGTTTTAGGGGCGTTGTATGGCTGAAACGCACATTGAAGCTTTTGTTATCAATCCTTGTAGGACTTCTTTTGCCTTTTTAAAAAATAATTAGCGCTCTGATGTGCAGACTGCAGAATGTCATCCCAGATTGATATTTTACCTGATTGTGTTGTATATATTTATATCTATCTTATATATATTTGAGAACTATACATACCAGTATAAAAGTGTCTATTCAAATGAGGATTCTGTAAAAAATCATGAAGTTTTTCAAAATAACTGTTAACCTTAAAACCTCTTGAAATTATTGAGTTTTGCCTATTCCTCATTTGAATTGCTCTGTGGGTGTTAAATTGTCAACTTGTGGTCTCCTCTCCTCTGTACTATTAGTTTTAATTTTCAGTCAAGACATTCTCAGGCCGCATGCCACAAAAGAGGTTTTGTAGTGATTAGAATGTATAATTTTAAGGTGCCGTCTACCTCTATAGTTGAGGGCTGCCACAAAGGAACAAGATTTTCAGGCTGATGAATTGTGTTCACACCATTCCATGACATTTTGCATCTCAGCTGTATTTTCTTTCTCAATTCATCTAAGATGAGTCAATGTCATTGTTATCAGCATATGTAGAAAGGTGTTTTTATGCTGCAGTTTAATAATGCCTTGTCAGTGCTTAAATTATGTAGTGTTTCACACCTTTGCGTACTTGTATATTTCACTTAAAATAGCAACTTGTTACCAAACAAACTAGGTACTTTAATAATTTAGGAGGTCCAGCATCGGTAAGCACAGCATTAGATCAGGATTGGGATGTGCAAGAGTAGTTTTTTTAGTGTTATTTTATGACACTGCACTTATCTATGTATTGGGTGATGTACATTCCAGTTGTTAAATGGACACATTGTACAGTGTACATTAAAAAAAAAAGGATTCTACTGTAATTTATTGGAGCTTTACAATTACAAATGTATTTTTATGCTTGTTGTTGCTGTTATTGCAAAATTTTAATGAGAGTTATGATATTTATTAGTAGCAGTGAAGCACATTACATAGACATATGTACATTAATCAACCTTCAATAATGCTGGTACATTCATTCGCTCTTGTAACAGAATTGTATGAGGAAGGGATCAGCACTATCTTCATTGCCCCTAGCATCTAGTGCAAAGCCCTTATTTGCAGAAGTTTGGGACAATATGAATACAAGGTCAGATGCTTGGTGCTTGGTCTTTTCTTTGATCCGTTTGATCCTTGTTTTGTGTTCCCTGTTTCTTGTTTCCTGTTGCAACAAACTGTTAGTTCAACAGATTAATTTTACCAGTGTGCTCCTTTGAGGAAAGCTGAAGGTGTTGATTTACAATAGAATACTACCTAAGGCATGACACCTAATTGAATCAATCAATTTACTCATTCTTTCAATCTAGTTCAGGGGTATCTGTATATTCGGAACATTTTTTTGTTATAATTCCCATTAGTGTAAGGCGTGCTTTATATTTGATGTTAAAATTGTGATACTTTTGTCGTAGTCGGTTTTCATATATTATATTTTTATGGTTTTGTATGGAGGCTTTTTCCAGCAGTATTGAGAAGTCTGTTTACATCAGAATTTTCTCCATGGTGGCGTAATTATTCTAAGAAAATATGGTTGTACCCTTCACAATCGTTGTTTCAAGAAGTGTGTTCTAAATTTTTAACAAAGTTTGTCTTTATAGTTAAAATAACTAACAATGAAGCAAAATTTTCTCTTTTGTGTACAATTTTTTATTTCTTCCCGCGACTGTTTTTCTTGATCATACTCGGAGAAAACATTATCTGTGTATTCCTCCGAAGTAATTTCTTACAGTTTGTTCTAGAGCATTCTACAAATGCTATCCATTAGAAGAAATAAAATGAATTCATTATTTTTGGGAACATATATGGTCTTTTCTAGGGATTGAGCTCATGAGTTGATCATTTTAAAGGGACTACAAGGGAAAGTTGAAATGTTTCTTAGTGAAATGCAAATTTTCATCCTTATTTAATGACTTAATGCGGCAATGGTAGGCATAGAAGTTTCCTGTGTTTTAATGAACTTGCATATAAGCAGTAGTATTGCTGCTACGTTGTTTAATTGTCCATTACTGTCATAACATGATTGTTGATTTCAAATGTACAGTAGACATATAAGCGTTAGTGTGAATGATCCCAATAATTTCTTACTTTTCAACGTTCTTTCAATTGTTCACACATTATGCTATGCTGTGTTGTTAGCTAGCTGTGCGACTCACTCATTTTAAGGGCCGTATGATTAGATGCTTTTTTAAAGAAATGTGTGTTAGTTCTGTTTAACTTATCTAATTGAGGACAAAGTGCTGGTAATCCAGTATTTTATTGCATATCTCAGGTTTGCATTCCACATAAACTGCTATTGAAAAGGAAGGAGGTACTGTGAAGATTAATTGTCTGCTTTTATTGTGAACGAATCTTGTGTTAAGGTTTTACTCTGCCTCTTTCCATCTTGAATAATGCATCTCAATGAACCATCAACGACCTAATAAATTATGAATGCTCTAGTCTCAGATATATGTATATAAATGTGTGTATTTTTTTCCTTTTGGTCTTGACTGATATTCACTTGCAAATGTCAAGCTCTGTACCATGTATTTTTTTTAAAAGGCTGATTTAGAGATCAAGGATGTATGAAGACCATGTTTGGCAACCTTTCAGCCCAGGGTTGCATAATTTGTCAATTAACATCCAGTAATCAGCTCTAAACTAATTTGTGTACCCTTGGTTACATGCTGTACTAGCAGCTAGCAGAGATTGAACCTGTAGCCCTCACAATATTAATCATAATAAACATGTTAAAAAATTCAGACTTTGGCTGTTGTATTACAATCCCTTTTTTTGTAGCACATCATGCACCAGGAGGTCCACATTTCAACATTGTCACAGTTAATTTGAAGAAAATTGATAATAAATTGTTACCAAGCTATTTAACAGAAAAACTATCAAAACAGTAAGCCTCAAGAGACTAGGGAAGGTGACACTTATCATTCTAAATTATCTCTCACCTACATGTGGGGAATAATCTCTCTAATATTTTGTACTAATACTTTCTTTTCTTTACCAAGAAACCATAGCAAATACTACTTCAGATTTTTATTTTAGTGTTTCAGGATACAACTCTCTTTGCTTGTTCACCTTTCTGCTTGGTGTAGCGCATGCCTCTTTTCCTGTATTGTTCTCACTTATATGCCTTGTGCTTAGTTAATTAAGTATATGATTTTTAGTATGTACTGTTGTCTGCAAATAATTATTTTGTAAGTCTTTTCTGACAAGTAAAGGTTTCAAAAGCGGATTTTCAGAACACACTTTAGAAATAGTTGCACATTTAGTAACATTTTACTTTGCGCATTTCTTAGTTTTCTTTGCTTATGTATATGTTCTCCAGGCGCCCTGTTCCCACGATCCCTCCCAGAATACCGGACAGACCATTCATCCCCAGCCGTCCCAACTGAATGCAGAATTGGATGATCTAGGGACCAAACTTTTCGCCTCGGCTGCTGGCTGGCTTGGGCCGTCTTGTGCCTCGATCTTCAAGGCTGTGAATCTCAAGAGGGAGGACAAGGCATGATAGTTCTATTGAGACAATGGAACTTGTAGTCTGACTGCTGTAGCAACCTAGTTGTCACAGAGCTCCAAACACAAATAGTAAGATATAAAATGTCTGTCGTGGGATCTATGGTATTTTTCTCCTGATGTATGAACTGCCTTGCAGTATTTTTTATTGATTAACTTTCCCATGGACAAGTTTGTGTAATTTGTTTGTACATACTTTGTTACATAATGTTCTATGCAGAATTTCAATGTAAATATTGTGTACAAGAAATGATTCAATGGTGTATTCTGAGTGAGAATCACAAGCCTAGTCTCCAAAGAAGCAGTTATTTGAAGAATTACTTCGTATAGTTTTCATGTTTTTCAATTGTAGACGTAGCCTTTTAGAAAAAATGATTTCTTATTGTTAATCCTTGACTCCAGCCCCATTGCGGTATGTACCTAAATATTTAGGCCTTTTTATTTTCATTAGAAATATTTGCATGTCATTGCTTTTTAGCATGACTATAGAACATTTCTGTATTATAGTAATTTTTGTTTGTTTGTAATGGCTGAAAGAAAGAATTGATTTGTAGTCACTTTAAATCACTTGTTTTTATTATATATGAAGTTTAGTTAAAAAGTTGACGCCATTAAGAAGTTAAATCATGATAGGAACTTACAATCTGAACAGTTGACAAATTTCATTTTACATCACAATCGGTGTATTATTGTGGGAGTCTTAATTTTAAGGGGTGGGGAAGTGTTTCGTGTTGATTCTGCCGCTAGAACATTCCATTTGGTGTATTGAAAGTAGGAATGATTTTTTTCCTTATGAGAATTTTTCCCTCTGACCTTTGTATATGATTTCTTATTATTTCATGGAACAAAAGTCACTGTTGTTGCATGAGTAGATTTGCATTATCTGGAAAGAGAAGTTATGTAATTATAATGAATGAATCACTTAAGAAGCTATTAACTTTGAAATGAAGGATTGCAAGTATTACTCTAGGTCAGTTTAATTCCTTTGCACCTTCTAGCTTCCGTGCTAATGATGAAAACAATTTTGTGGTATATAATAGAAATCTTGGAAGTGTTAATGATCTCTCCTCTTTCACTTATTACCTCGTTCAGGGAAAAAGGCCTTGTCCATTAGCTTTGTAATAGCCTTATTGTCAAAGCATATTCTCTTTTTTTTTTTTTCTTCAATGAATTTTTACTGATCTACAGTTGTGTAGGTGCATTTGATGCAAATGAAATAAATCACCAGTCAAATTACAAATTGTGTTTATGACTTTCCACAGTTTCTCATTTAGTTAAAAAACAAATCAATACAAAACACATTTGAAATAATCTACTTTGATAACTTGCTGAGAAAACAGCACATATCAATTGATACCTTAATTTGAACCTCGGTGCAAATGAAAGGTCTCACAATCCAACATTCTGTTAAATTAGACTTTAGAAATATAGGAGAATCAAAAACTCACTCAGTTACAACATAAAAAAAAAGGTACACTTCAAAACCTCAGTAAATTTAATACTTGGGCAGTATTAAGACTAACAAAAAATACGTAAAACGGCAAATTAAACAATTCAACCTGATCCAAAGCAAGTCTTGACTAAAAACTCATCTGAAAATTAGCAGACAGCAAATATCTGACTCAGCTCTTCACTTTCATGCTCAACAATTCCACCAATTAGAATGCCAGTGCGCATTAACATTGCAAAGGGATGAAGTGGTTGCAAAATGAGAATGGTTGAATGACTTGTATTCTTAGCTTAAGATTACACACTTAATTGTACAATTAGGACAAAAGAGACCAATTTTTCTTGATGTCTCCCATTGAAATGGAAGGAGAGTTTAGTTATTGGAACTTGCAGCCTGTCTGCGGAGTAATACATAAATCTTTTCTTTGATCCAGTCCTTATTGTATGGTGCATAAGTATTAGTGCTCTTCTGATATCTAGAAGTGGGAACAAAATTTACAAAATAGAAGGATGGTAAGGATTTACAAAACGGCAAAACAACTAAAAGCTTACTTACACAAGACACGAGAGATCTGCCAACTGATCAACAAAATCAAAAAGTTGACTAATGTCGTAGGTAATACAGGGGGTGTCAGGGTTTTGCCTCTTCAAATGTTCTTCATAAATCTTGCAAACCCCTAAAGAATGAGAATTTAAAGTAGAACTTATGTATGGTCACAAGAAAAGACATTGCAGATTGTTAAACCTTTCTACTAACCTTCCATACATTCATTAACTGACTCATAATCAGAGTAGGTCCTTGTCTCCGGCTTTTGTCCAGGTTGGACAAGTAGAATTGTGTGACTCTGAAAAACAGTCAAGTTAAAATTAGATGGCTAAATAGTCAAATGGAGGAACCGATACGAATTGGTCATAGGTTATGGTATGACAGCTGAAAAAGAGACATAAGCAGATGTACCAGGCACAAAGCAAATTGTGAGTAAGATATCCTATAATTAAAATGGGACTCTTAAATGTATAGAACATGTGTAAAATACTGCAAGTGTGCGAAGATAACAATTGGATTGCATCGGGCCGACAAAAACAGTGCCCAAAGTAACGATCTTTATACCTTGAAATAATGGGGGAAAGAACCACAGATAAGTACTTCACCTAATACTTACCATTGCAAAGAATATGCAACCAACAGAGGAGAGAAAATTACTTAGGGCCTGAAACGGCACACCGTCGACTTGACTGCACACTGCACACGAGAAGTAAGTAACGTAAAGTAAGGTTTGGTGTTGAGCGGGGGCGTCGGACGAGAGGGGGCGGTAGGGGGTTGAAACAGTTCTGTGACATTTCTCCAAGGCGGTTGTTGTTGTTTTCGTTTGTGGTGTGCGGTAACGGTTGTTGTCTCGTCTTTGTTGGTTGTCAAAAATTGTGATTTCTTATTTCTTAGAGGTGTTATAAGTGCGTCAGGTCGAAATCTTGAAGGTAAGTGATTCTTATCCACCGCCTCGTGTTTTCGTAAGTGTAGCTGGAGGTGCCGGACTTGTTGTTTAATGACCGGCCGTTGTTAGACCAGACCGCTTGCTTTTGCTTGTAAACATATTTACAAAGTCTTCTCAACATGCATTCTCCTCTAAAGAAAACAAAGCAGGATTTAAGTATTTTTTATGTTATTTATCGTATGCTGTTAGGATGCTTAGATCTGGTTTCATGTCAGGCTTTTGATATATCTGACAGCATGTTTTTTAGGTTACCGATGCCTATATCTTATCTTCTCTGATGGCGTCCATTTATATTTCTTGTGTACTACCTTTCTCTATATAGAAAAAATGTTTTGTCCAAGTAGACATATGTTTTGCTACATTATCCATGTTCATACTATATAACCAGTTGATACAGTTAAAGACGTCTGTGCCCAACAGTATTGTGTGATTGAACTCTTCTTTGTCAGAATGATTTGTGCTGGAACAGTTTGATCAGTTCAGGAATATCGAATAAGGCGTTAAGAGGATTCAAGCAATAGAAACCATCACTTCCGTATAATTAATTCCATATTAGTCCGGTGTGGTTTTTTTAAAAGTTATTTCTGAAACTGCGTTGTCATTGATGAAATTAATTACTTATATCAAGATTTGAAAACTGTCAAAATAACAGTCTTAGAGCTAAATAAAAGCAAGCAAGTTCATGTGTTAGTGTTGTGGGGCTGCACTGCAAAGGCAGCAATGGATGCGTACGGCACCAGAAGATGCTGGGCTGACTGTCTACTGTTGACCTTGAGGAGGTAAAGAGAAAAGTATGCTATATCGGCGTAGAGTGACAGCTCCACCCGCTCACGCTGCGAGTATACTAGTCGTATGTGGTCGTATGTTGTCCTGCAACCTTGAGTGGGGCGGGCAGACGCCGGCTGTCACCAGCAAACCGTTGTACGTGGACCCCAAGTTAACCTTCTTATTCCTGCCTGTGGTTATCTAACCAACCATGTGCACGGCGAACGATTCTTATTTTCTGTTTGGCAAACTGCTAGTGCCCTGTGCGTACGGGCGGTCCCGCACTAGTGTGACGCACGGGCCAGTGCTGGGGCGGGGCGCGCGGGACGCCGCGGGACGGCCGCGGGGCTGACCTTCCAGGACTAGTAGTACGCTTGTTAAGCCTCAAAAAACGGCCTGAGCTTTCACTTTAGCGTAGAGAAAAACCGTTTGGAGGGTATGTAGTACATACCCATAGGACACTTTTAAGAAGTGGTGCCCAAGCCTACTCCGCGTGGGGACCGCTCTACGGAGGGTTGCATACCCAGCAGGGGCAGGGCTTAAAAACCGCCTACAACATGGTTTTTCGACGGGGAAGGGGTCGTAATGTATTCTCTCAAGTAAACTGCACTAGAAAATTACTTGCCGAAGGTGATTAAAGCAGGTTGCCTACCTCTAGGCGTCAAAATATCACTAAAACCATAAAAATACACAAAAACGTGGGGTTTTGTTTAATTCATCCCCGTCGGAGTGTCTGTGCATGAATGTGCGCATGTGTGCGCGTGTTGTGTGCGTGCTTGTGTAGGGCACCGGTGGGGTGGGCTTAAGTCAGTTTTTTCGGGTGTTAAAGGGTTGGTATTTTACAAAGAAGTTCTGGAAATCAACTTTTGAAGCGTGTCGTGAAGCATTTGTCAACTGCCTTGTTATACGGTATGTGAACGCTACTGAAGTTGATTGTGTTCTTTTTGAAGGCGAAGTTAACGTCCTATACCGCTCTAATCAAAGATGGCGGACGATAAAGGGCTTAAATGACTTTTCCTTCAAAAACTCCCGA